CACGTTCACACTCCTCGTAATCAGCTTCTCAGTGTGTGAAAGATGCGAGGGCTTCGGGGTGGACAGAGCACCAGTATCACAACTCTCAATAGACGCAGATCCAATAGTCGCGGAGACGAAGTCGACGACAAGAATTTATATATAGCAAACAATGGTATCTCAACCAATATCTCCTATACGAACACAACCAACACTAATCCAATCCACAACCAACAATATAACAAGTCAGAGCTTAATACAAAGTATTAAGATCCCTTGTAGCGACAGCGTCCAGATGGTGACGCAAAGCCCAAATATCAAGTCGACGCACTGCCAACTAGTAAACCAAAATGCCGCGTCGACGCACTGCCAACTAACAGCCAATATCCAATGTCCAAAAACCCGAGCACAACTTGTCGACGCACTGCCAAGCAAGAAGTGTGGAACCAAAGTTCTCAAGTCGACGCACTGCCAACTGACCAAAACAACCCGAGCACAACTAGTCGACGCACTGCCAAGCTAGAGGTGTGGAACGATCTCAACAAAGCCCTAAGGCGATGACACTAAATGCCGCGACAATACCAGATGCGGCGAATCCGACTTTCTGATATCTCAAAACTCAAAACTCAAATCACAGTAGCTACAAGTGCTCAGGGAGCAACTCGTCGCGACCGGGCAGGGATGGCAGAACTTCTTAGGGTGGAATCACGCGACACGCAAATTGTACAAAACAATCTGAAATGAGAGTGATTCACAGTCCGGGGGAAAGCTTCCCTTTAATACAAAGAGACGACGTGCTACTTATACTGTCTACGACGCTGCTTAGTAAAGTCCTGTACAACTGCATAGTAGCTACGCTATCTAAGATCGGTTGCCTTTTAGGGTAATTGAAAAGTTGAACGATCGGACAGGTCCTGAGTGATCAGGACCCCGCCCCATAGTCCATATGATACTTTTGATGTGGGTCAACCCACCGCGTCATACTTTTGGAATACGACGTGCTGGATTGGCCAACGGGTATGTCTTGGCATGTGAGACCAACGTGGGCGCCCCAAGAAGCCGTATGGCTCTAGGCACGCCAATCGTCTCCCGCATGGCTCGGTTCACGGATCTAGCCGTATCGATTTTAGTGTGTTTGAGTATGGGCGTGACTCGCCGTGACACTTGGAAGTGTCACCGCGACGCGTCCACAATGTCCTGTGATCGAATGGATCCTGACATGTGACAAGTCGTCGTCGTGGCATGATCTGAGGAAACGTCCAACTCAAAACCGGGAGTTGCCGCGACAAGATGGTTTAAGTCTTGTAACGCCAAGTCCTGTCCAGTAGTAGTTCTATTATTGAGAACGTCGCGCATTGCTCAGCCCTTCAGCCCAAGTTCCCATCTGCAGAGAATGACCCTTTTTGAGAAGTCGACGCAACGACATATCCCTTTTTGGGGAATGGTCGCGGTCCAAGCGTTCGTCACTAATGGCCCTGAGCCTGGTGTAGACTCATAAGACCAGTTCCACAGTAGTGGTCTGACTGCCTTGCTATCGTCGACACTATCCACAGTCGTCGACTGGGCAGTAGACCCATAAGTCCTACTGAGCGCAACACTGTTAACCGCGACACGATACACCGAGTGGTTCAAGAGTAAACTCTGTAAAAGCGCAAAAATACGCCCTTACAGAGCTGGTGCAGAGCGCGTCTGGTAGCCAGCCTATCACCGGCCGGTGGCGGAGCCGTGGTTCCCTCAAGATTCCGCGGTCGTCAAAGCCGGTTTAGCCGTGTTTTTATCCAGTGTGTGTTGCTCGTTTCGAGCATGTGAAAAGTTGATTGATCCCTCAGTAGCGAATAGGAGATACGACTCGGACATTGCCAATGCCCGGCCGTGATGTCTCAAGACGGAGTTGCTACATGGTGCGCCCGTGCATATGCTGGGTATGCTTGGGCTTGCCTCGTGCATGTCGGGACTGCCGACCGGCGGACTCCGACCTAAATAGGTCCCGCCGTTGCGGCGCATCTCGGTTGTGGCCAGGGTCACCACCGAGATACGCGTTCCCTTCCCCGTTTCCCGTTCTGCGATCTTGCAAGCGCAGCCGGTAGATTTGGCGGGGTCGGGTTGCGCTCCGGTCTGTAGGTAGCGTCTTCTTCCAGGCCCAGACCTGGGTATTGCCTTCTGTCTGTATTGTGGTAGGAGCTTTTTCTTTGTGGGAAGGCACTTGTATTTGGGTATTAGCACTGTTGTGTGTCTATTTGTTTCGAATCCGAATCCTTTCTGTGTCGTCTACCATCCGCGACCTCTGCTCCAGCTTCCACGGCCTCTTCCGTTCCATCCCCTTCTGTATTGTGGGAATCCGCCTCTTCCCCCGCCACGGTGGCCGCTATTGTCTTGATTGTTGCTACGTCTGGCCTTCTCGACAAGGGGGTGGTCTTTTGGGAGAGCGGAGATTTGGTCCGGTGGTCCCCACCACTTGGCTCGGGTAAACGGGCAGAGATACGATGGATAGTTGTCAAGTTTGCAGACGACGCATTCCCGACTCTTGCCGGTGAATTTATCAACGATGGGGGTGTACTGGATGGCATCGGTTACGTAGATCTTTCTCCGGAGTAGGTTGCCGAGGGTTTCTTGTTCGGTTTCGGATCCCTTGCGTCTATCCATGTAGATGACAATAACCGGCTTTGCTTCGTGTTCTAGGAATTGCGCGTCAACGGAGAGGGCGAGGGAGTCGATTCTTTCTTCACGTGGTCCTGGCTCCATCTGCGTGATTCGGTCGATTACCTGAGCGATCTCTTCATCTGTGTGCATCATCTCCCGGATCGTTCCTCTTATTTGTCCCAGCATTTCGTCCTTGCTCGTTGTCGCCGAGAGCTCCATATACATCACCGTCCAACTACGCCTTTCTGCGACAGATGTTGGCCAGAATGCTATCTTGGTGTTGACCGCGATGAATGGTTCTGATAGGATGGCCGCGTGTGTGGCTGAGTCGTTGCATCTGAGGAATGCCACCATGGGGTCTGCGTATTTCCCTCCGCTCTTGTTTCCGGGATCGATGATTGGGGTGTAGTAGTAGATTGGTGCGTTTTTCGTTATTCCAGATAGAGAGAGTTTGACGGTTTTCTCGATCTCTCCTTTCAGCATCTCGAACAGGTGTTGGCCGCCCACCGCGAAGACGAGGGCGATTGTTCTTCCTACTCCCCACTTCTCGATTGTCTCCTTTTGTTCTTGAGCTATCCCTTGCAGCAGCCTCTCCAAGCTAATGTAGTGCTCGGGGAAGGTCCCTCCTTGGATTCTTTGGAAGGGGCTTTCGCCATTGGTGTTTAGCTTGGGGACCGGGCGTTCCGTGACAATCTTCAAGTGCGGGTTTTCGTCGTGGCCCGCCGGAGTCTGCATAGCGAATTCGTCTTTTGTCGGTCGCGTGTATTCAGGGGGGGAGTTTCGTCCGTCATCATACTCGTTTCTCTTTCAGTCTCGTTTGTCGACTGTGTTCTGGTTGTGGGGATGTATGGGAGGTTGGAGCTAGGTCCGGTGTGGGGGGGTGGTATGCTATTCGTCGCTTGGGTGTGGTGTGTGGATTCTTTTCTTTTGGGGAGAAGTGTTCTTCTTCTCGGTTATCTTTCGGTCTCTGGAAGCCTCCTCCGGTTGTTTTGGGGGTCTTTTGTGTGGGGGTTGACAGGTCTGCCAGGTTGCCTGGATTGTTGTTTGTGGGTGGGCGATGTCTACGTGGTCTGATGTTTTGCGAATCGTCGCTTATTTTTTGTCTCTTCGTGGTGTCATCTTCGGGGTGTTTTCTGATTTCTTTTCTTTTCTCTCGCTGTATGTACTTTCGTGTATTTTCTTTTTGTGAATCAACGTTGTTGTTCTGTCTGGTTTCTATTGGTGCGACCTCCTTTTGAGAGTCGTCTGGTTCTATTAACCTTTCAATCCTTTTGGGATTTCCTTTTTCTTTTCGGAGTGTCTACTCCCGCTGAGTATCCAACGCCCTTTTTGGCGTGGGGGGTGGCTCGCGGGCTTCGTATCTGCCATCAGTCTCGTGACATGGTGGTGGTAAGAAGTCACGAGGCCCCCGAACAAGCCCATGCTTGAAGCGCTGAAGTACCGAGGCTTTGACTTATTTTCACGCCCTGCGCGATCGAGAGAATCTGAGCACCCCTACTTTCAAATGACAGATCGGACGATACCAAGAAATGGGTAGCGAATCCAGCGAGCCAATGAGGAGACCCACCATGATCGGTTACGCCCAATCAAAATATCTGAAGTGCTGTCCAACGCAGCGCAGGTACCTGGATCGAATTCATCATGTGTCGAGATCAGAGTCTAGACCCCAAGGCATTTGGTCATGTGCCGACAAAACGTGATATAATCACGTGCATTGCCATCGCCCAGTTCGAGCCCTAGACAAGGATTTTGTCCAACCGCAGCATAAGTCCTGAAATTTTGACTTTTTATGCCTACGGATAGTCAGGCTTGGAGTTTTCACCTTCATTGGCAATCAAGGGAATCACAAAGGACCGCCGGAGCCCACCAGAGAGTGATTGAGAAAATGCTGGCAAGGGTGGCTGGAACTGGGCATTTAAACAAGAACTAATCAAACTTTGGTAAGAAAAACGTACAAAAAATGGACCCAAACCCAAATCCAGCGCCACTACTTAACAAAATCCGCCCGACACTCTCTACTATTTTGGGTCAAGTGTTCTTAGAAACCTGACATCCATCAAAATTTTCCAACATAGCGGCTGCCAACTCTAATGCATTATCCGGGGTCCTCTTTAATCCCTGTAATCCTCCGCTTCCGCTGGATAACTCGACGTAGATACCGGACGATCATCGGGTGGACGGGAAACCTCGACACGGACGATGCCTACATTGTCCGGACCCCGCCGGTGCTTCCACAGCCAAGCGCTAGAGAGTGTATGATCAAGAATTATTCATTCGACCTGCTCGAAACGTGAGGGCTTTTGAGGCAAACAAATGAGAATTATAAGATCCTTGGCATTTCGTTCATATCTAGTCAACTTCAGCTTAGATCTCGCACATCCATCCGTCTGTGCATCCCTGCTATCTTCACCTCCATTCCTCCCCCTCATCCTCATCGTCATCATGAAAACGAAACGAATCACAGGCACTGCGAGTAATACTGGCCCTGTGCGGTGCACGTGTACGGCGCGACACTGCATCAGTGTCAGTTTCAGGTCAAGCCAGCCCACAGCTCACGGCGCGCGGACGCAGACGCACCAGGAAGTCGGCCCGGTCCAGCCCATGCCACCGCACTGCGCGTACTGCGCCGCGCTGCTGCCCGTCGGGGGCGCCGCGGCGGTCGTGCTCGTCACGGGGGGCTTGGCGGTGCTGCTGGTCGTGGCCGGCGGCCCCGCGGCTTTCGTAGTCGTGGTGGTTGAGCCCTAGGGGTGGGTGTCAGCATTGCCGCAGAGATGTGCGCAGGTGCAGGGCATACCCCGCTGCTCGAGCCGGTTGCGGGCCATACAGGAGGGCCGGGCTAGGTGGGTGGCGGGCCATCAGTAATGTACATCGGAGCGAAGAAGGTTAGGTACCTGGGTGTAGGTAGGCGGGATCGGCCAGTAGATGTTGATGCTGCAGGGTGTCAGATGTGTGCAGATCAGACTTTGGGTCATTGCGCTCACAAAATGCCAGGTTCCTAGGTGATTGATGTTCGATCAGCTCGAATCAAAGAGGCTGGAAGGGTGAGGACGACGTACGTTACCCTAGAGAATCAGATAAGCACAAGCACTGGGAGCATAGGTAGCACCACTCACAGTGTAAGCGCCGGGGAAGGCTACCAACGGGCCAGGCGTTCCCGATCCACCTGCAGCACGTCAATTTCCTACACCAATCTGGGGCGCCGAGAGCGAAGCGTACCCTTGGCGACCTAAGGACGAGCCGGATCAGTAAAATCGAGGTTGAGAGGTTAGAGCGCAGACGTACGTTGACTTGGGCACAAGCGATGTAGAACTAGGACGAAATGAATTCAGCATCCGGGGTAGAGGGGTGGGAGAAGGACTGTACCTGCGCACCACCCAAGGCCTGAGCGCCATGCAGAGCAATGTGCTCGGTCCGCACAAGGTACCTACACCCGTCAGTACATTGACACGAACGGTGCACAGAACAACGCACTGGCCAGCTGGCGTCTGAGCGGGGATCTGGAACTTGATCTCCGGCAGGTCTGTGGACTCGTTTCATATTCTGCGATCTCTGAAGAGCAGCAGCAGCACGCACTAAGGGCAGGCCACGTGATCGTCGAGCCTCCGTCGGTAATGGCGCTGATCTGGTACACCTTGAACCACACGGCGCCGGTCGGATCCCACTTGGAGACGTCCGTGCCTGTGGGCGCTTTGGCCATGTACACATTGACGACCTGCAGACCCAGTCAGTTCTGCATCGTAATCCGATCCCAAAGCGCGAGCGTGCGGGATCAGCTCGCGGGGGAGGGAAGCAAGCAGCCACGCGACGGGAGAATAGCACGCACACCGGGGTGGTACAGATTCGACGGGGTGCCGACGATGGTGAACCCGATCGTGTCGCCCGCATTGACGTTCGCGGTGCTCGACGTGCCCGACATCTTCGAGTCGTAACAGCGGATATCCGGCGCCGTGACGTTCGTCTGCGGGTTGAAGTCCTGCCAGTTGTTCGTCTGGCTGGTGCGGGGTCAGCCTCGTGTAGACGGCGCATTGCCGCGAAAAATCCATCAGGCACGCACCGGACATACTGCCACGCGCTGGTGTTGGTCCCGCCGACGATCAGCTCCGGGAAGTTGTAGTGCGCGCGGACGCCGGCGAGCTGGCTAGAGAAGGCGATCGCAGCCGCGGCGAGGGTTGAGGGGGAGAGCTTCATCGCGGAGTGAGTGAGTGAGTGAGCTGGGCAGCCGTATCGTTCTGGGGCACTCCGTCCATATTTGTACTGCCCCCGGGAGACTGCCCGCACCGAGGCGATAACGAAACGCAGCGACACGGAACAAAACGATTCGCTTTGCGGGAGGACTGGTGGCCCCCTGCCGCTGATGGCGATTACCCGCGATGAATCAGCAGAGCGTTCACATGGGCAGCACCACGGGTTGCCAAGCGGCCTCTCTAGAGCGCTATTACCCCCCACGAGCGAGCAGTGGGTAGTGGGGCGAGCGTGGGGTTATTCCGCGAAACCGAAATGTATCCGTTCGAGCGTAATGGAGCGTTGTCGTTTCCGAGAGCGGGCTAGGCCCTAGCAACCTGACATAAATGACGCTTGATCCATTTAACAAGATATGAACGGATCATGGGTGTGTTGAGAGCTTGCGGGTGTTTTCGAAGCGCTGCAACAAATTCAAGGGTGCCATTCGGCGGATGAGACTCACTGCGATGCAGGTTGCAGCCGAGGCGTTACTTCTCGATATGGCAGGCAGGCACGTGCTTGATGTTGCCACGGGTGACGTCATCTCATCTCACAACCAGCTTCACTGTGCAACGGCGGCCGTAACGCGCCCGGGACCGACGCGACACAAGCTCAGATGCATGCGATGTCGACCCCGGCAACAGTCGACCAGTATAGGATACCTACTAGAGCGGACGGTGCCCGCAGAACCCACGCGGAGTGACATCGGGTTCTATTCTGGGCCACGGGTCCCATCAGACACTGGCGCCATTGAGTCTGGGGAAGGGCCCGTTACCACACCGCGGATACACATAGCGTATATCTCGGTTTTTCTGCGCGCAGATGATCTGGATTGCGGCGTTGCGCCAGGGTCGGATGCAGGCGATTATGACTCATGGGCGGAGGCTGCTGTTGGGTTCCTGTGACAGTACTTATACGCACGGAGGAGTGGGGGGGACGTACCGGACTTGACTGCTCCTCCTCCTCCTCCTCCGCTCCGATGCCGACACTCCGCAACTTGCTCTGCACGGCCCTCCTGTCTGCTGCGGCTGCCCACGCACACTGTATGCTGCCCAACTCATCGATGGATGGCTCTTAACTTAACCGCGCGCAGATATATTCCCGAACCTGACCATCGGGGGCGTCACCTCCGCCAACTGGGCGAACATCCGGCAGACGAACAACTGGCAGGCCCTGACCCCCGTGCGTCTCGCGGCTGGCTCATGCATCCGGAACTCACCTGCTTGATCAGCAACAAGACGTGACGGTGGCCGACATCCGCTGCTACGACTCGGCGTTCTCGAACGGCATCGGCACGGCCACGACGACCAAGGCCGCGGCGGGGTCCGCGGTGACGTTCAACGTCTTCGGCAACCCGTCCAACCTATACCACCCCGGTGTGCGTGTCTCCCGTCCCCCTCCCCCTCCTCGGATCGGACTCGCAGGCTCACGCGGTGCAGGTCCTCAATGTGTACATGGCGAAGGCGCCCACGGGCACGGACGTCTCCAAGTGGGACCCGACAGGCGCCGTGTGGTTCAAGGTGTACCAGATCAGCGCTGTCACGGACGGCGGGTCGACGATCACGTTCCCCGCAACGGGCCTTGCCTCAGTCACGTTCAACATCCCCTCCGCCACACCCTCGGGCCAGTACGTCCTCCGCTCCGTCCGTCTGCGATTCGGCGGGACCCGTGCTGATGGGGCGACAGGTACTTGATTCGCATCGAGCATATTGCGCTGCACAGCGCGTCGTCCTACGGGGGCGCCCAGGTTCGTTCTTTAGCATGGATTTGGGATAGTCACACCAATCGCACGGTCCCAGTTCTACATCTCCTGCGCGCAAGTCGAGGTCACTGGCGGTCAGTCGCAGCCACAGTCTATCGTCGTATGGGTTCTGACGCAATCCAGGTGGATCGGGCACGCCAGGCCCGCTCGTCGCGTTCCCTGGTGCTTACACCGTGAGTCTCCCATGGCATGCCGCAGTTGATCTGAAATAGCTGATATTCCTCTGCCCTGTAGGGAAATGTACGAAATCTTTCATATCGTCTTGGCTTGCTGACTCCCGTGTGTGCGCGTAGGAATCTGGAATCCTGTACGTCTTGTTATCTATCGGACTTGCACTGTTCGCTGATCAGCCTACCGCTAGGATCAATATCTACTACCCCATCCCCGCGACCTACACCCAAGTCAGCCCGCGCTTGCGCTCCCGCTGCTCCCGCTGACACGATTCAACCCACAGCCCGGACCCGCCGTCTGGCCCGCCGGCTCAGGCTCCGGATCCGGATCCGGCGGAGTATGTCCCTCATCCCCACCTCCCCACTAACAAGCACAGTACTTACTGACCAACGCGCGCCCAGTCCACCTCGACGACGACCGCCCGCCCGCCTCCGCCATCCAGCACCACCACCAGCAAGGGCACGACGTCGACGACCGCCCCGCCCACGAGCACCGGCGGCACCGTCGCGCAGTTCGGCCAGTGCGGTGGGAGCGGGTACGCCGGATCTACAGTCTGGTGCGTGTTTTTCCTTGCCCCGGACTTGTATGTGGAGGGTCCTAATATGCTTCCATCAGCGCCGCGCCGTACAAATGCACCGTGCTCAACCCGTACTACTCGCAATGTACCTGAGTCGTTGTACGAGTCTCCTAGTCTTACCACACGTTTGCATGAATGAACGAATGAATGAATGGATCTGACGCACACATGCACATGACATTTGAATTTGTCGATAGCGTAGAAGTACAACAGGAGGGGGGGAGTCACGGGATGTATGTACAGTATGCGAGTTTGTCTGTCTGGGTACGTATCACGTCGTCGGTAATCTGTAATCTGTAATCTGCGGGATTCGGTGTCTGTTCTGGTGCGGATACTTTAATAACGTGCGGAACATGCAGGGTGCCAGTGCGAGTAATCTGTTTCTGTATCTGTGCGAACGGAAAAGCGAGTGGGGGTCTGTAGCTGCAAATCGTATCATAACATAGCGAATGCGGATGGCAACGACGAACGAACGAGCGAGCGAAAATACCAGTCTCCTACCGCGTAGTCGTGCGCACCCCGCTCGCCGGACCCGTCGTCCCAAACTGGCCCTGGCCTTGGCTTTGGTGGTGGTGGTGATGGCTCCGACGCTGCTTCCCAACAGTACCGGCACCGGGAGCAACACCCTTGACCTGCTCAGCCTCGCTCGGGAACCCAAACTGCGGCGTCGTCGGACTGAACGCTGCGACACTCGACCGCGACGACGTGTACGTCAGCGCTGGCGACACCAACGGCGGCGAGTGCTGCGCCGGCTGTGCTTGTTGATGCTGCTGCTGCTGCTGCAGGTGGTGTTCGTGCGAAAGCGAGTGCTGGTGCTGCTGGCGCTGATACGCACTGCGCGCGAAGGCCTCCCCAGGTCCTTTCGGCATCCGCCGCGGCTGCGGATGCTGGCTCTGGTGTTGCTGGTGAAACATCTCCTCGTCCATGCCACCACCCGCTCCCCCGTACGTCACAGTCGCCGCTGGGACACGGTACCCCCGCATGCCCACTCCCAGCCCAACACCCGAAGAGTCGAGATCAAGCGGCACCGGGCGGCGTTTCGGCTGCTGTTGCTGCTGCTGCATGGGCTGCATATGCGAAGAAGCCTGCGCCTGAGAGAGCGACCGCGCACGACTCCGGATCTGCGCCTGCGCCTGCAGCGTCTCCAACAGGTTCTGCATCGCCGGGTCGAGCCGATTGTTGCCTGGTGCGAGCGAATAGTCCACTTCGAATGCACCCGCGTGGTCCTCCTCGTCCTCGCCGTACATACCGGTGTGCGGGTCGTACCGGTCGGGGTGGAACTCTCGCAGTCCCGGCGTCGAGTACAGCGGCTGCTGTAGCCCATGCTTGGCGAATAACGACGACGGGTGCTGTTGGTGTGGAGGGTGGTGATGATGGTGGTGGTGCTGCGAGTGAGAATGTGGATGCAAAGACGAAGCCGAAGTCGAGGTCGGATGGAACGAGTGAGCGTGAGACTGGGCTGCGGCAAGCTCCTTGCCCCGCAAGTTCAGCAGTGTCGCCTGCGCAATGCTCAGTTGCCCCGCCTGTCCGTGGTCCTCGTCGCGAGCCGTGCGTTCCTGGCGCTGTCAAAAGGCACATACCCGTCAGCGCCCCATCTTCGCATGAACTCAAGAGCACGCACCCGCAACTCCCGTTGCTCACTCGTATCCGCGAAGCGCACGGAGATCCGACTGCCAGCGTCGTTCCATCCGCGCACCATCCGGCCATGCAGCCGCTCGATGATCTCTTCTGCGGCAGTTCGCGTCTCTAGTCTGCCAATTATACATCAGTGTGTGAATGACTTTCAGGAATGCAGTGCCGCACCTTACAAAGGCGATGATGCGCGGCGGATGGCTCAGTTTTGTCTGGAAAAAGCGACTGCTGCGAATCGCGTAAGGCGACACCAGCGCAGCAAGCGTCGCGTCATCGATGCTCAGCGGGAGCCTGCCAGACAGTTAGCAAGTGCATGTCAGAGGCAGCAGCAGATGGTAGGTAGGGAGTGAGTAGCAGGACGGTGTGACATGTGACATTGCCGGGAAACGAACGAGAGAAAACAAGACAGGAGAGAAGCACGCACCCCTCGATATACAAGTTCGTGCTCGTCCGGTCCGCAAGGCGCTCCATCTTGGCCTTGAAAGAATCGGTGGCGCTCACATCATCCCATTCGGACGAGGCGCCAACGGAGCCGCCAGTGTGAAGCGATTGGTCATTTTGAGAATGTTCATCTCCATGATGAGATGAAACAGTCGCATACACCGTCCCAGGGATCTTATGCACCTGCTGCAAGGGGCCTCAGTAAATGCAGACTAGTTAACGAGCTGAAGGCCTAACGAACCTTGGAGAAAGTGGGATGCAAATTGCGGTATTTGCGCAACACCTCGATGCACCGCGCCGCAGCCGCGACTTCCTCAAATAGCACGAACCCGTACCCAGTCTCAGTTTCACTCACATGCCGCGTGAAGCACCGCACGCTCTTGACAGTGCCGAAAGGCGCCGCGAGCGCGAAGAGCTGGTCCTCAGGGAAGTTGGGCGGCAGGCCATTGATGTACACATTCGGCGTGCGGTGGTCGGGGAGAGACTCGTGATCCGAGTGAGCATGGGCCTGGGGTGAAGAGTGGATTGTATGAGACTGAGAGGGAGGAAGCGGTCGGTGAGCCTGCTGGAAGCGCATGGACGCAGGCAATAACGTGCTCGATGCGAAACTGGGCTCCCGCGACCGATCACCACGCAGCGGCTGTTGGTCAACGACGACAGGCAGCGGAATCGTTCGTGAGGCTGGGGCGTGTGGTGGCTGAGCTAAAACGACAGCATATATCCAGTCAGCTGGGCAGTCCTAACGAGAAGATCTCGTGCACCCACCTTGGATGATAATCTGGGTCACCTCCCCATCTTCTTCTTCGTCCCCTTCGCAGGCTCCATCATCCGCAACGACCAGCGTCTTGCCCTGACCCTCCATCAGCCGAGCTGCCTCTCGAACCTTGGCCTTGAACACCTCCGCTGGATTACCCGGCACCGGCGAGCCCACCAGCGTCGCTGCCGACGCGGACGGTGCCAGTCCGGTCTCCTGGTCTTGGGTAGCAGGAAACCATGCTGGCGAGGAGACAGACGTCGGGAGTGAGTACGCTGATTCAGGAGGACCGATTGGCGGGGACCCGGTAAGCTGAGCTGAAACAGGCGAAGTGGGAGAAGTGGGCGAGGTGGGCGCGGGAGAGGACGCCGCAGACACCAGAGTCGAAGAGGGTGGAGAGACAGGAAGCGCTACATCCGCAGCCGGGGTAGCCGACGCGCCTTTGTTGCTGTTCGGCGAAGTGGGATGCGAGGATGCTTCGGGCGGTGGCGTCGGCGGCGCGTGGCCGGTCGTACTAGTCGTGGCAGGGGTCAAAGAAGGAATAGCTGCAGCCGCAGTTGATGCCGGGGCCGGGGTCGGAGTGATAATCGTAGTCGTAGCGGAAGGAGAGGACATGCTGGTGCGTCGATGATGCTAGTGGGTAGGACGCGAGTAGGAAATAGGTAGTGGGTAGCAAGAGAACGAGACGAAACGAAACGATATATGTATGTAGCAGAAGGAAGGTCGAGCAGGAGGAAAAACGTTTCGTAACGTCGGCGGTCGTGTATATATGCTAGAAAACGGGCGAGGCAAAGGAGCGATACTTAAAGTAAAGTTAAGGCGTCGTAGAGCATGCGTATACGTATGCGTATAAGAGGCTGGTAGTCAAAGAGGCTGATGCGGGGTGGATACGTTTATAGTCGGGATACGGTTGGGTGCAGAGTACAGATGAGGATGGTGGAGGGGAGGGAGGAGAGGAGGAAAGCAAGCGAACGATCAAGGGAACGAAAAGAACTTGGTCGAAACCTTCAAAAGCCCCAGAACGCGTCCGTTTATATACCATAGACGTAACCCAGGACTCTCTGCTCGCGAGCCTCGTGATATCGAGTACATTTAATTAACGCGGGGAAGCGAAGAAGCGCGGAACCCAAGTCAAGAGTGGGCAAGTCTTCCACAGTTCTCTGTCGTCGTCGTTGGTGTCACGTGAGAACCTCTTGAGGAGCGAGTTCAATACAGAGCGAGAAAAAGAGATGCAGAGAGATTCGTCGAACTCGCATGACAATCTGAAGGACGGTGCGCATGCAATCAGGCGAGTTACAGTGACAAACACGAAGATCTCGTAAGACAGATAGGGGTTTATCCTGATTAGGAAACCGAAGGATTGGGTTGCAAAAGCAGGCCAGGTGTGAATCTCTCTGATCGACAACGAGAACCTTGCAGTTCGTTTTTAAACACTCTTGAGATTCTCTGTAATACTCAAAATCCACCGTAGTACTGTTGAGACAGGCGTTGTCTCCCGTGTCCCTGACAGAGACACAGCACAACGCGTTTAGTTGACAAGTTGGTCTATGATACAAAAAAAAGGAAGGTCAACATCTGCCAGCTGTAAATGAATTGCTCTTCAGAAATATTTGAAGGATTCTTGCAGGATTTCGGACCGTACGGTAGCATGACTAGCCTGATGATCCCACTGAACTTCCCTGCCACTCACCAGGACATTCGATAGGGCGATTGAACTTCTGAATACAAACAGGGACCGTATTCCCGGAATGCGCACGATGACGTGCCAACCACTCGCCTGATCGCGTCTAGCGTCCAGACCCCCGACTCCCGACATGGGCTCCATAGTGTACGGCCGTCGCCTGTCGCGTCCCAAATTCTCAAAGCATATCCAGGGAGTCCACGGACTCGGCGGTCGATTCTTTGAACGCCGTTATAAGCGGGTGGCAGACGAAGACAACTTCGAGTTGACTGGGACCTGAGCTCGAAGGCGCACTAAATACTTATAAGCTCAAGGAACGTGGCCGAATTACAACATGTCTGTCCCTGTTTCCGATGAGAAAATGTGATGACGTTCTCAAAAAGGTATTTCTTACCGGCATGAATGGTTGATCAAGCAAGTCTATGTGTTGCGAGGGTTGACTATCAGAGTTTACAAGAGCATCTGCAATTACTGGAAGTCACTACCATTCGAACCTTCGACATCCTCGCAGAACTCGATTTTGCACTTCGGTCGTCTGCGCGCCGCTGATGAGTTCCTTGAGTACCGGCAGTCATACACATCTGTCTGGTCACAGGAACATTTGAACCGTTTCACGAGGGCTTATGGACCGGAAATTCATGTAATAGAACCTACGCCGCCGCTCTGTTACCCGGCGAGCTCCTGATTCGATCAGAGTCTATCTGTTTTGATCGTCATGGAGAACGGTAGAGAATATCTTTGATGTTCTATTGACGATCTAACATCTGCAAGATGTGCAGAAATCTCACTGCCTGTGTTTTTGTCTAAGACCAAGTTCCGCTTTTCCGGTCACTCTTCCGACGAATGCGTTCGTCGTACTTCACGAGGTGCGTAGTTTGACCTCGGGAAGAGTTTGGTCGAATCAGCTTCGGGTCTCCCTATGCTCATCCCAATCCCGTCATTCCTCGCCGATTCTAAGTGTGGCTCCAGTGCTGAAGTAAGAGATTCATGGCAACGGGGACACATTCCTGCCCTCAGCGTTTAAGAGCCCACCGGCAACCGCCGCACAATCAGCTCCACACGTGACGACGCCGGCTCAGCGTGTGCGTGAAAGCCTGACCAAACAACCCTTATAGTGCGCGCAGTCTCATCAAATACTTTATAATTACATGGTCATGACATGCATTCACCAGACATCTGGAGAATCGTCGTACTTCTTTCGTTGTTTTCTTAACCGGAGGCGGAGGCGGACACGAGGCCGCTGCGCCGCTCCATGCGAGACCAGAGCTCGTTGAACGGCATCGCCGCTGCGTTCAGCAGCTGGTCCTGGCCCAGTATATCGTCATCACGTGCGTAGGCACGATTGGGTTCCGGGTACACCTCGAGCTGGAAGTTGGAGGAGGGCGTGGAGAACACGGCGCGGCCCTGCGCGTGGAGGTTGAGTATGAGCCGGGATGTCATGGTTGCCGAAACGCTGTTTTGTGAGGGGGAAGGAGTTAGATGATGATGAGGGGGCGATGGAGGACCACTAACCTGCTGGCAAAGGTCGAAAGGCTTCCGCGAAAGAGAGGCTGTGGCGATTCAGTCGGCAGTCATCGGCAATGGAGGTCACTCACGCCACCGAACTGTGGAAAGGGAATCAGGACAAGATAGACTGAAAGAGCGCAACGGCTTACATAGAAAGTCAATATATTAGACAAATTGGCCATAGCGATCGCGCTTGATTGGAGTGCATCAGCAAGGGGGAAACGCAGAACCCCAAAGTTTAAGGCTACCCACCCAAAGAACAACGCTCCTGCTCAAAAGGATTATGATCTGCGGAATCTATAGAGCTCAACACGGCTGCTCACCGTCTTTGACGAATAGGTCATGCAAGGGCATAGCCCCAGGGGACCGCCGGTGCGCACGGTACCCACTAAGCAAGGTCATACCGAGTACCGTGATGTCGAACAGGAAGAGACCCTGCCAGGGTGCTGCTAGCCCTAAACAATGTGGACTGATCAGCACGGATAAGGATAGATGTGAGCCTCGGGATAATCACTTCTCGCGCTGGATTCGACGCAGGGTTAGACCACATGTGAGTGTCATCTCGAAGCACAGACCTGCTTGCAGAGATCGGGATGTGACATCCGCGGAGTGTCACCGGTGGGATGTTTTCTTGGGTCGTGACTGCCCACTAGATTGTTGATTATCAACTGAAGCAGAGGGGATCATTTGTGGTTGGACTCACGATTGCAAGCCCACCCAGCAGGAGCACGATCGATCCCAGGACGGAAACGACCCAGGCGCTCCGATTGTATAGCGCATACATCCTCAGGATCATGACCACTGCGGCAGTTGCCTCGTCAAGGCGAGCCAGATCTCCGTATGACATGGTGAGAACTGACCGAACACGATGAGTTGCGTAACCAACAGCAGTACTTGACGTGCGAGAGTCGCTCGAGAACACCTAGAGTGTGATTGAAACGTCAGTCACGACATGTCGAACGTGCAGAGACTGTTGACTCGCATCTTCATGGAAAAAAACGTCACACGACGTCAACCCGCCACCGAAATTAACGCACCTCCGGGGAAAGCTCCAAGAACGGGAGCACACCGACCCAGACGTTGCCTAGAAACGCGAAATAGCGGTTGAGGAAAAACAGGTGCGTCGTGCGGCTGCTCCAACGCGGCCAGAAGAGGTGGATCTCAGCGTCTGTGGTGGCTCTATCGCATCTCATAGGCATCGAACAGAAGGTGTGCGCACCAAGCGTGATGATATGGTCCCAATATAGTATCGCTGCAACAATCAGGTGAACACAACTGCGCGTAGGCGCTGCAAGGGTGCGCACAGATCCCAAATATGTGAGCGGCGATTTGTTCGTGACTTTGCGGGGTCGTGAGCCTCCCAGTCATCCGGGGCGCAAACGCTCCGCTACTACGCACATCTGAGTCACCGCGGACGCTTCATCCAGGCTCATGGACTGTTGGAGGGGGAGAGAGGGGGGAGCGTCAAAGAACTGCGCACGACAAATACCACTGTATATCCCCTGTCACAGCGGCAGCGTGGAATTTGACTTGGGGCTTGACCGGCCGCATCAGGAGATTGGACACGAAAGATCAAATTAGGGCGGTAGTAAGGTGGAGATGAACGACAAACGCGGACCGGGTGGGGATGATCGGCCCACGATCGCATCAGATTAGATGAGCGAGACGGCGGCGCCCTCACGTGCTGTGTGACATATCGTGGCCAACACGTGTTTTCTCCCCTGCCGTCATTCGGTCTACTTGGCCCCGATAGGGCAGCGTTTACCTCGAAAGATCCCTGGAAAGTCGACACCGGGCCGGGTATGCAATTGGACTGATCCTGCGCCGCAAGTTGAAGCTACGCCCGAGTACTGGTTGCTCCTTCCAGACAAAATTGCTCCTTCCAGACAAAGAGCGCAGCTCTCCACCGGCTCCGCTGATTCCGCTGAAAACGAAAGACCAAAAATGGTATTTTGCCCCTGGCGCTTCAGGGATTCATTCTTATGCATTTACGTAGGAACGTAACGGCGGGTGGAGTGTTTCTTCACGTCAAAAGACATATCGCTATCAGTGATTGATAATGTATACCCTTTAAAGAGCAGTCTCTCGCTTGAGTCTCTTTCTTTGTAAATTCATGGATCCAGTGGAGGTTCAGCAGCAATTGTGCGCTAGAAATCTCCTCGCTCAGCTACAGCACATACGGCTGACGAAACGAACAGGAACGCCAACTACTACTTCAACTGTGTCTCTTTCAGTGAGCCCTCGATATCCATACGCGCAGAGTCGTCCACTTTTGACACAAGCGTCCAGCGCTGATATTCTACGACTATTTCCTCACGCTTGAATGGGAAGTCTCGCGATACTGGGGCCCGTCGTTCACATTCCGCTGGCCGACCATGGTCTTCTTCGCGAATCGATATGCAACTATCCTGGGCAACATACCCGCCGCGATCGAGTACTTCTGGGCCACGCCCAGCTCGCCCGCAAAGTTCACTGTGAGTGTTCAGGGATCTCCCGCATGCTGAAGCTACTCTGACAAGTGTGGATAGACGTGAGTGCCTGAGCCGTCTCTGCACCCATGATCAGCCAAGTTAAATCGACATGTCCCTAAGCTGTCGTGTGCTGGAGACGTATCACAAATACTTCGTCATCATCATCCAAGTCTTCATCACCGGTAGGTTTCGTTCAACTCGTAGCGCGCGCAGCTGCTTGAATGACTCGAACCATCCAGCTCTCCTGACCGTCCGGACGTATGCGCTTTACGAGCACAGTAAACGGATCTTGGCCCTCATCATGGGCTTCATAGTCGTCACCGCAGGCTTAGGGCTGGTGTGACTCTCCGTCTTTCCACGACCCTCCAGCTGATTCTATCGCCAGTGGGCTACCTTTCGCCTGAACATCGACCAAGCCAGCACAACGTACCATGCCGAGCCGTATTTCGGGTGCACCAACACCACCACCCGGACCCAGTCAGTCCTTCAGAGCATGAAAAGGTCCGATGGGGAACCAGCTGATATCCTGGCACAGGGCGCTGAATTTCGCTGCACCCTGGACCAGCCTGTTCTTCCTCGATTGCGTCATATTCGTGCTCACTGTCAGGAAGGCGTTCCATGGATTTCGCGATCGCCACAGCACGGGCAGCGAGCTGTTCACTGTCCTGCTACGCGATGGTACGTCCCGATGAAGCCTGTCTCTGAACACGACTCAAGATATCATTGCCGCAGGCTCGGTGTATTTCGCGTGGGTCTCATCTGCTCAGTACTTGCCCGCCCCCATTACTGGACTACCCCTTACCCAGTGTGATGGCTCTCGCGCACTTGTCGAACATCATGACATTCTTTGTGAGCATCTCCACAGCTTTCATATGTGTGGCCCACGGCTGACTCGGTTGCAGTTCGGCACAGTGAGTGACGCGTCTACACTCGGCCGACGAAGCTTGAGCTGTATTCTGCAAGGATTACACGCGTGGGATCGCGACGACCTTCACGAGCAAGTGCGTGTCAATGATCTCATCTCTCTCTCTCTCTCTACTGAATCAGGTCTCACAACCTATCCAGCATCGGCTCTCTGATGATATCGCGGCTCATGCTGAACCTCCGCGACCCCGATCTCAGCGATCTCAACCAGACGGGCCATACCAGGAACCCTGAAGAAACTGAACTGACCGCTGCGATCCAATTCGCGTCTGTGGCTCCAGGAAGCCAAAGCTCGGAAGGCGCGGGTTGAATTTTTCTTTCGCTGTTGTAATCATTGTAAGCAAGTACTGTACGTCGTTATCGCTCGACCTCACTGTATCATTTGTCGTTGGAAATCGTTCCTCTCCGGTATCTCCCGCCAGGCCCTGCATAGATCCACCCCCGATGCTGCAGCCAGGGATCCGTAGCAAGAATGAGCTTAGTCCCGCTCATTTCTCGCGCTCAATTCGCTTCGAGTCAAGTCTCCAAATCAATGATATGTCAAACCTATGGAGGTCGAAAACTACATGCTGATACGCGGCGCACATCTATCACAGGTGACATGATGAAGTGATCAACAGTTGATTGATGCACATCAGAGACCCCGTAGCGTTTAGCCACCAAATGCTGTGCAGCTTAATGCGTCACAGCCACACCACTACCCCGTAGCGTTTAGCCACCAAATGCTGTGCACCTTAATGCGTCACAGCCACACCACTGATCACTTCGGGCGTTTCAATGCTTGTCAACATATATAGAGTTTACGGGGGAGAATGAGTCTCCCTCCATAATAATATACCCATTGCCCAAATACTTTCGCTAATCTTCTTGGAGAGAAGATAACTTGAAAAACTCACAGTATCTAGAGCAGACATGCTGCTCAGGGAACTGCTCAAAGAATTTTCCGTAGTTTCCTCCACCAAAGAGGCCACCATCAAGGGAACTAAGCAGATTCAATCAGTGTTTGGAGTTCCGGGTCATTCAAGGACTTACGGGGATGTCATAATCTGCGGATCAGTCAACAGAGCACCGGATCCTAGTAAAAGGTGGGTTAGAACCAAGCCGTGAATATATATCCAATCCAGAATACTCACCTTGCAGGTCAGAGAGAAAAACAAGACCATCCGTTTGCTCATATTGAACATGTTGAGTGAAGCACAGGAACTCTGCAAGAGAACGCCTATCAGGGCTGAGAGATGCAACCGGAGTTGCACTATTGTTATTGATGTATTTGACAAATTTGCCTGAAAATAACTGTATAAGGCAGAGGCTTTAACTGTGAAAATCTCCTTACCTGTTCCAATGAGCTCTTCTAGAAGGTAGGTCCGTCGAAGAGAACTCATTGTCTTGCTAGAGCTCCCAGCTGCCGCAGCTTCATGAACCATGGCAATTCCAGCTTCTACAAATCGAATGTCGAATATGGGAAGGTCATTGGGCGGCGCCCCGTACTTGCCAATGAAATTGTGAATCCAACCCATGGTGAAACGAAGGATGGCTGTGCCCCAGAAGAGCAAATTAGCCTCGGAAATGGTGTGTTCATACTCGTTCACAGGGTCAAATCACTTCAACGTCTCTCTGGTCCTGAACATGCGTTTAAGCGCAACATGCTGACCAGGGGAGGCACCCAATGGGGTATCCGAAAGTCGGGTGAGTGTCAGGTAGGCAGAATGAGCAGATTTGAATGTTCCAACACCGAGAGGAGATGCTGATGGCTTTAGAGCCAAAGTACCACCCTCGGCTGCGGACATCTCAATCTTGAATGCTCGATTTTCCCTGAGCAAATCCTGGAGACCGCTGGGGCGAATCCGGAAGAACTCAATTGTTTCAGATGTGTGAATGGCTGAAAAATGTGTTCATCAGTGACCAGTTAATCAAGATAATCAACTCACGAGCACTCTTGGAGACAGTAACAGAGGCACCGCCAGCATTCAGAGCATTTCGCAATCTCTGCCTGTCCAAGGGCTGAAATTCCTTGATGTCAGATTCGGCAGAGCGCTTTTTTGAAGGAGTATCAGCAGAAATCTAATGTAAAGTAGAAATATAAGTCAGTATGAGTACCTTCAGGCCATGATTCACTTACAGAGTTGTCATTGGTGTTTTGGGAGATGATCTCTGCATTGTAGAGCTCATACTGGACATCCCGAGTTTGATCAGAGACAGATCCTTGCATGGATCGAGTTCGAATGGATGACCGAGGCTGTCTCATGATCAGTAATGGTGAAATTGTCAGGGGACTGTCATAGTTCGGCCACTTTTTCATCTTATCTTCGACGATCTTATCTTATCTTGGCACGGGTTATCTTATCACGGATCATGGCATCAGACGGCCCGGGTTGGGGGTTCCAGGGATTATCTTTATCGATCCAAGGCTGCGCGACATATGCTCCGGAAGGTTCTACTGCAACCCATGACCAGTGCTCCATGCGGTACATAGCCTTATGACTCATTAGTTGTAGATATGACTCAGACTGGATTTGGGTATAAATACTGTAGCTATTTGGTTGTATTCTCCAGTCTTCGAATTCACTTCTCTTTTTGACTTTGTTTTTGGGTTGATTGTCACATAATTCGAAGACTCTCCTCATACCCTCCTACCTCATACCTCTTACCCTGCATCTTGCACCGCTACGCCCGCTATATCCTCTTAACCCTTATCACCCCACTCACCCTTTTACCGAATCATCTAGTCGTTCTCTGCGATCGCAGTGAAGGGTTCATCTCGAGCAAACAGCACCAGGCCACGGGTAACGTTGAGCCCGACCCAAGCCTTACGGTAGCTACAAGGAGTGCTGCGGAGACCTTCGGGAAAACGCACCTCGGGATCATCGGGCACGTGAAGAGCTAGGCCCGGGATCTTTTTGCTAGCAACAGAACCTTTCCTCGAGTGCTTGTACAGCACACGAATCCACCATTTCGTACCGATTCCCATCGTCGTCTGGGAGTCCGTCTCCTCCCCCCATCCTACCATCGTCGCCCGATCTGGCGTATCAAAACCAACCCGGGCCCTCCGATCCCTACCTCGCCCTCCCGCCGCCTGAAGACGAGATCCCTGACCTCGACGAATTGCCCTCCGAACAACCACCCTCACCCCCACCTACCACACCTGCTCCTACCATGTCAGGACACCACCGCATCACCCTCGCCGCCAACCCCCCCTATTTCGATGGGGACAAGACAAAATATATGGGCTTCGTGGACTCTTGCACCACCTACATTGGTGCCTATCGGTCGGAATTCTCGCAGGATGAAACAAAAATCCTGTTCATCCTCTCCTACCTCCGCAACGAGGCTGGCACAAGTTGCGCCGCCTCGAGATGGGCGATGAACTGGAAACAGCGCAACTTCGAGAGCCTTAGTGGGATAAAGGCTGGGGTCACCTCGGCAACCTTCTTGGAGGAGCTTCAGAGGGCCTTCGGGGATTCCAACGCAGAGCAAGTTGCCGCCGCTCGACTCATGGCCCTCCGCCAGAACAAACGATCCTTTGCGGATTATATCTCCGACTTTGAGATGCTGGCTTCGGATGCGGGGTACAATGTGGTCACCGCCACCGACGACAAGGGCGAGTACAAGAAGGGGGATCAAGACAATATCCTCATCGAGTTCCTCGAGCGCGGACTCAGTAGCGAGATCGCCAGTCGCCTCTACAACACCGGTGTTCCCCTGCCCAAGGTGTATGGCGCCTTCAAGGACTGGTGTGTCAACATCGAGGCGAACGCTCTTCGTGATCAGCTGCGCAAAGCGTCGTATGGGCACCCCACGCAACGACCACCTCCTCAATTCCGCCCTCAGGCTGCTCCAACGACACCTGCACCTGCTCCGGCTCGACCCGCTGCCAACGAACCGGTTCCAATGGAAATCGATCGCACCCATGCCCGCAGCCGCAATGTCATCTGCTACAACTGTCAACAGCCCGGGCACATTGCGCGGAACTGTCCGGAGCCAAGGAAGAAGCGCACATTCTTCAATCGGGCCACGATGCTGGAAGAGATTGAGAACGGGGACAAGGACAACGAGTTCCTCAAGGAGATCGCCGAGAAGCTGCGCGAGAAGGGTTTTTGAAGCGCTCCACTCCTCTAGCCAAGGAGGTGGAGCGCCCGGACTATGGACGTTTTTCTGTACTTGTTTCAATCAAAGATACAAACAATATGCCTCATCATACATACACGCTCCCCGACTCACTACGTACAAATATTCACGATTTTCTTGTTGCTGAAATGGAAAAGGAACGTAAAGAAAAAATAGCTTTAAATAGAAAATATTTACAAGATAAAAAGGATCAGAAGGTAGCGGCGGCGGATAAATTATTTTTGGACTCTTACATATTTATGGCTCGTGGAGAAGGAACCACGTCAACAAAGACCGAAAAGGGGAGCATCGCTCCGGAGGCTCGATCCTTGGAAAAGGAGGAAGCGCCTAAGGAATCTTCCGAAATCAAGGTTCCAGAAGCACCCAAACGTACAAGGGTGCCAGATGCCGTCCAGAGGAAATTGGCGGCCGAGAAACAGAAGGGCCCCCAACCCAGCAGATTGGCGCAGGAACTGCGCAGCTACCAGGCCGAAAGGAAGAGGCATTCGATGGACGTGTATGTCCAGATCACGGGCCTGGACTCGGGAAAAACACGCGGAGTAAAGGCGCTGCTCGATAGTGGCTGCAGTACCTGCTGCATTGATACCGACTACGCGCGGGCAGAGAGGTTGGATATCCAAGAGCTTCCACAGCCCATCGTGGCTCGTAACGCCGACAACACCGAGAACATCAGCGGTCGGATCACGCATTATGTCGACCTAAGGATGAGAATCGGTCCTCATGTAGAGACACGCACGTTCCTTCTGACGTGTCTAGGGAAGGCCCGGATCTTCATTGGCCTCGATTGGCTGACGGAACACAACCCGGAGGTAGATTGGCAAGAGCAGACGATGAGATTCAGCCGATGCCCAGAGCGGTGTCACATGAGGGGCCACGAGGAGCACCAAGCAATGATCGACATGGATGCAATCGACCTGGACGCGGATGCACCGGATCTGGAGGAGGGAGAATCGATCCTATTGGTTGACTTTGGGAAGGAAGTGGATCTACGGCTGAAGGAAACGCCGGCGCAGAAATTCGCAGAAGAAGCGGAAAAGGAGAAGGAGAGAATGACCGAGGGGAAGATCCCGGATCAATATCGGGAATTCGTCAAAGTATTCGCCAAGGAATCGTTCGACTCGCTGCCGGACCGACGAGCATGGGATCACGCGATCGAGCTCAAACCTGGCTCCAAAGCAGTGGACTGCAAGGTGTACCCCTTATCGCGAAACGAGCAGGTCAAACTCGACGAGTTCTTGCAAGAGAACCTGACCAGTGGACGGATCAGACCATCAAAATCACCCATGGCATCAGCGTTCTTCTTTGTCAAGAAGAAGGATGGCTCGCTACGGCCCGTCCAAGATTATCGGAAGTTGAACGAGATGACAATCCGAAATCGTTACCCGCTGCCGCTGATCTCCGAACTGGTTCACAATCTATGCG